CGTGGATAAATGAATAAGTTTTTTTTATCACAAACCTGTACTTTCTTTGACGCTATTTAAGGCATAATAAGACTACCCACATACAACATTTTTGAAATATTTTATGTTGTCAATTATCATGATTTATGGTATTTTTACGATATATTCACTTCAAGAATCAGTGGAATTTTTTGGATTTTTTTCAAAACATATTTTATATTGTCAATTATCATGATTTATAGTATTTTTACGATAGATAAACTTCAAGAATCAGTGGAATTTTTTGTATCTTTTTTCAAAAACATATTTTATGTTGTCAATTATCATGATTTATGGTATTTTTACGATATATTCACTTCAAGAATCAGTGGAATTTTTTGGATTTTTTTCAAAACATATTTTATATTGTCAATTATCATGATTTATAGTATTTTTACGATAGATAAACTTCAAGAATCAGTGGAATTTTTTGTATCTTTTTTCAAAAACATATTTTATGTTGTCAATTATCATGATTTATGGTATTTTTACGATATATTCACTTCAAGAATCAGTGGAATTTTTTGGATTTTTTTCAAAACATAATCTATAAACCCCCCTCTAAATTAAGAGACATTCCTTCAAACTTCTTATAATTTGATATTGATATATAGCCATGGAAGAACAAAACTTTCAGCAACGGAAGAGGCTAGTTGAGGAAATAACAAGACACAAATTTATGAATTACAACTTATTACATTAAGCTTTCACTCATCCTTCCGTTTCACAAAATTGTGCATCTAATGATAGAATTGAGTTTTTAGGTAGGAAGTGAATTTTAAGCATCGGATCGAATTAAAATCAAAAATCTTTTCAAATTTTATCATACATATACAATGACGGAGCCATATATTTAAGGAGTACTTGGTTGACACCCCTTCATCTGAAAATTGTGCATATTGATACTTGTTGATTTCTCCGTGAATACATCCTTATATTTTAACGCTTTTCTATTGAAAATTTTTAACTCCATGTGTTTATCATTAGTGATATGATTTTTTTATTTTTTTGGTACCATATCAGATCCAATTAAGTTTCAACGGGCATGATGCCAAGAAGTCCCATCATAGTAGTCAAATCGGGAAAAAAATTACTCTCTCCTTCTTATTCATGTTTTACCATTTGACTTGACACAATATTTAAAAAAAGAAAAAAAATTAAAACTTATAGTTTAAAACAATTTTTAGATATTTATGTAGTTGAAAATCATTTTACTAAAGGTAAACAGGATATTTTAAAGTTAAATTATTTCTAATTCTAGTAAGATGATATTCTTTTTGGAATAGCCTAAAAAGGAAAGGATGTCACACAAAATGGGACGGAGGAGTATTTCATAAATGTCTCAGTCACTATATATATATTCGCTAGACTCTAAATCATGAACCAATTAACGTTTGATGTCTGTCAAAAACATTTTAGTGATGCGTTATAGAACGGATCAAGACAATCTAACCCAAATTTTATCAAATCTAATTAGTCTATTTATTTTTAAAAAATATTTTAGTACCTAACAAAATTAGGTAGGGCTAGGTTCGTTTGGCCGATCTGGCCTGATTCGTGATTTAATAATAAAAGTTGAGCTAAGATTTTTGAAGCTCATTTTAAGAAAAGGTTTTTTAGTCTGGCCTAAATAAGTCTGTTGATTTGGGCTCGAGCAGTATGGGTAGGCAGACCTATTTGCCAAATAAAAAATAAATAAAAATACAAATAAAATGAAGTATTAAAAATAACAAAAGTCCAAACTCAAAATCTATTTAAAGTTTTAAATATTAAAATTTAAATACAAATAATGTTTATAAAATTAAGTTAATATTTCTACTTAGCTATTTATACTTTAACTTGAAATCAAACTTGATAAATATTTATAAAGATCGATAATTTTATTTGTGGATTTGATTAACAAGTAGTAACACTAACACCATGTAATATTATATTGTCGTTATTTAGGATAATATTTTTAAATTATAATTTGATTTAAAAAATGATAAAAAACATACTTTTAAAAAAGTGGGTTGGCCTGACATATCCCGCTGCCCACATACTTGTGAGTTAGGCTAGCCATTTTCTGGCCCACAAAAAGAATGGACTAGCCCGACCTAACCCATCAAATTCCAGAGCCTATATAGATCAGCCCAGATGAGATAAGTTAGTCCCTATTGACACCTCTATTACTCGATAACTAAATCTCAACAAAGATGTTATGTAAAGATGTTTAAGAATGAAAAAAGATTTCTAATACATGTGGACTTTCAATATCCCAACTTTGTCTCAACCATGCGTAGTTTGTTGAACGTTAACTTGTGCTATTATGTATTTAAGATTTAAACTTTATATGTTTAAACTTATTAAAAGTGAAATGTAAAAGAAACATGAATTAGTGACTTGAAGACTCCCAATTGAATTCAATCATTTAAGAGGTTATAGTAGGTAGAGAATCGGGTTTTAACTATGATGAAATTATTAGAGCTATTTAGAAAAATCAAAATGACCCTTATTATACTACAATCAAAACAATGCCATAATCTTGAAAGCTTGAAGCTTTTAATAAAAAATTACAACAATAAATTCGACATAAGCATAAAGGAAAATTGAGGGATGAATTTAGCATGAAATATTGAAAATATAATAAAGAAAACTTACCACTTAAAGCTTTGTTGAACACGAGGGATATTTTCAAGAGTTCTAACTTCTAATGGAAGGAGGGAGTAGAAATAGACCTGCCTATTCTGGGATTTTTCGTGTATTCGTCCTTGTCTTCATTTTTGCGATGTTTTCGACCCTCATATCTGCAAATAGTCACTTTGAACACTGTTAATGGTGGATTGCTTCCCATCTAGCTACCTTAGTTAAGGTTCTTACATGACATATTTTATATTTTTTTGGCTAAAAACTAATAAAAAGAAGAAAAACAACTAAAACTAAAAGGATTTTTTTTCGATTTCTCTTGAATAGCGCTTGATTTAATGTTGGGGCATACAAAAGTTGGCTAATTATGATTATGTGTGACTACTTATTTGATTGCAGTAATTTTGTGATGATTCTGTTTGGTAACTTATATGTCTAGTGATTGTGTTGGGAATGAGGTTATCTATTTCGCTGATGTTGTGGAGTTAATTAATCGATTATGTGTTATTGTACTTGTTCACTTGTTTAATTGGCTTTATAGGTATTTCTAACTAAGTGGAAGGAGGGTTTAGGGCAAAGAACAACTCTCAAGTACTTTACTTCAGTCCCAATACTGGGAGTTGGCCTATAATGCCTATCAATATATAACATTTCTGCTTATATTACTTCTATATTATTTTTTAAAGTGTAGACTATAATCCAAAGTCTTTTTTGTAAAGTTATCAATGAATAAAATTGAAGGCTCATTAACCCTTTGAGGTTTTATTCATAGTTTTTGTCCTCTTACAAAGTATAAAGTTTAATAATTTCAAATATTAATACAAAGTTACAACATAGTAAGTAAAAAATATTAGTTCAATCCGTTACACCTGACTAACCCCTTACAAGGTCGGGGTTGGGTCATATAGTATTTTCTCCCAAAACCCTAGCCCCTAAATCAGACCTAAGGGCAACCCAATTTGGCCTAGAATCGAGACCATTAAGGCCGACTTTAATGGACGAATTCAGATCAAACCGACCCAATAGTTAGGCTTAGCTAAAATTGTTTCTCTTTTCTTTAATCATCCATAAAGTCTACTAATTCATATTTGCCTAAACTTACTAGGAGTGATTAAAACATTTGCTTTCAAAACGCTCTTCATATTAAGATTTTGATTAAAAAAAGTTTCAGATGAGAACTGAGTTAATCCTTGCACCAATACGTAGCTCGAACGGCACCAAGGGTTACAATTTAGTAGGGAAGGGTGCATAATCTTCCACCAAATGAGGCATAAATCTACTCATTTTGACTTTCTTTTTTATATCTTCACAACACATTTTATCTCTCAACACTTTATTTATATGTATTTTATTATTAAAGGAAGATCCTAGTCCCAAGCCAAGAAAAGATTGGTTTCTTATCCTTTTAGTCCTCTTAAACTTTAAGCTTTTTCAATTTGATTTCTAATTTCTTCTAAAAATATTTGAGATCTATATTTTGGGATAACTCAGCCAAAACATTTTTAACGTGTTATATATATATATTTGTCAATGATGACAAAAATGTACATCGAATTTTCAAATAACTTGTGTGATTAAGTGTATTTCTATATTTTATATGTCATTTGTTTTTTATTAATTTACATTGTACGACTTTGTTGACACGTTAACAAGTTTCAACCTAAATAATTATCCGTGGATCCAATGACCATTAATCACATACTTAAATTATGAGATCTGTCTCAAGACAATATTGTTGAATCATTAACAAGCTTGACATATAAAGAGAGAATCAATTATTTACCTCTTCCTTTTATTTTCTTTCCTTTTTAGTAATTAAAAATCAAAATTAAAACACACAATTAATAATTTGTCCTTGATTTCAATTTTACTAAATCTAATTACCTCATACATGGATAAATCATAATTGTGTGCAAATGCCTTACTTGGAGAAACTTTAAAGTGAGAAAGCTTGACTTCACCTATAGGATTGTTTAGGAAAAAAACTTAAAATGGAGGACTAGAATAGATAAGGGAAAAATTTCATAGAGTTACAAAATCTTTCCATGTTCACGCTATTTGATAAGCAAAATGAAATGACAATATTGTCCATTACATACATATAATTTGACCTCAAAATTCTATGTTCTACCAACTCAAAAATCTGTCTTGGATTCATTGCTTCTCATCGTAATGGTAAAGCTGGAAGAAATGTTCCACACTTTCTCATCGAACATTTCTCCGTTGTCTCTTGAAATATATATAATGGACAGTTAGAAAACTAGGGGTCCATTTGTCCTTATGTTCTTCTAAACAAAAAAACATTTGACTAAAACAATTGTCTTTATTACTTCAATTATTGTCTTGCTAATTTAGTACACGTCAAGGGAACATACACTAGCAATAAAATCCTACAAGTAGTTCTATGTGGCTTCTTCAAATACCATTTTCAGAAAATTGAAACACTCTAGAGAGGAAAAAATTGGGGAAAAAATGAATAGCTCCGATTCATTACTTTTGGAAACAAATGAGCAGGTACATACGTTATACATGTGTAGCATTATTGATTTTCAATTATATATACTTTTTGTTAGTTTTAATATTCAAGATGTAGGTATCTTATAATTGGAATTTTGATTTATTCAAAATTGATTGTTTATTTCTATGTTTTGTATGAGATTTAATTCTTACCATTTTATTCATTCATTTCCATTTCAAAAAGGAAATAGAGAATTATTTTTTCCCTTTGATTGTTGATGAAATTTCATGTGACTGACCAGTGTTTTCAAAAACGTTTTTGGGGCCAGTTCCAAGGCGGGGCGTATCAAAAATGCTCCGGGGTGTAAATTAGAGACATAGATCCATAAGACATAAGTTCTAAAACTTGAGGCGTAAGCCTCGAGCATAAAAACGTAGGCTAAGCATTTTTAATTAATTTTTTGAACTTTTTTTGCTTTAAATCATATTTTTTATTATTGGTGTTATGATTTCTCAAATAGTAATTACTCCCTTTGTCCCAATTTATGTGACTTGCTTTCCTTTTTAGTCAGTCCCAAAAAGAATGACACATTTCTATATTAAGTAACAATTTGACTATAAAATGTCTATTTTACCCTTAATGAAATGATTTACAGCTACACAAATTTCTATCATTCATTTTGGACCACAGGTTTTAAAAGTCTTCCTTTCTTTCTTAGACTCCGTGCCGAGTCAAAGTAGCTCACATAAAATGGGACGGAGGGAGTATACTACTTATTTTCTTCATTATTGATTATTAATACTTATCTGAAACAAAAATCATAATGTAATTTCTATAATAGTTATTTATAAAAAATTATTTGTAAAACCATTGAAAGGTTTACTTTTGCGTATTTTATTAGTAATAAAACTATAAAATTGAATATACATGAGATTATGCTCAGTAGATCCATGGTTTTACACCCCATATCTCGGGGCTTACGTCTTGCCTCGTACTGTATAAAACACCTCGCCTCACGCCCCCGCCTTTTAAAACACTGGGACTGACTAAATATGTGTGATAGAGCCGTCAAAACGGGCCAGCCCAGCCCTACCCCGCCCAAGCCCCGTGGGCCAAAGAATTTGATGGGATGGGGCGGGCCGGCCCTTCATTTCAAAGGGCTATAAAATGGTCAACCCGACCCAACCCCAGAAGGGTCAAGGGATGGGGCGGTCCAGCCCCCTTTTTTTTTTATGTCAAATCAATGTCACAAACAATAACATTGTTTCAATAATTCTAAATAAAAAATCTAGCAATAAATATTTAAAGAAAAAAATAATAATCTCTTAAGTAAATAATATCCGAAAAACAAACTAGTAAACTAAAGAACACTTCTGACTAAAACTTTAGTTAGTTAAAGTATTTTGTTAAATGAAATCAAAAGAATTGGTACATGCGTGAAAATTGTCCAATGTCGTAGTAGAAACGAGACGACAATAAAACTATAAGAGTAAAGAGATAGAGAGTTGTAGTTCAAGAATTTAGATATTAGGGCTTAGGGACTTAAGTTTTTAAGAGTAATGGCTTTAGAATTTATAAGGCTTTAGCCTTTTAAATCTCACGTACTAGTAGTCTAGTAGTTCTAATCTACTATAGTCATATAGGTTAGAGGTTACATTTAAGTTTTCTAGTTTTTAATATCTATTTTAATTTAAATAATTTGGCCCATGGGTCAACCCCGGCCCGGCCCCGATCAAGCCTCAAGGGCTAAGGGCCTAGAAGGGTTGGGCTTATAAGCCCCGATTTTAAACGGGCTTGAAAAATCATATCCCAACCCTACCTCAATAATGGGTTGTGTTGGGCCGGCCCCATGGGCTAAGCCCTTTTTGACGGCTCTAATGTGTGATAGCCTCTCAAGTGATTTGTATAAAATGTAATGATTGTTGAAGAAATTGAATTTGGATCTACTTTGTAAAGTTGTGTTGAGTTATTATTATAAAACTTAATTAATGAAATATATTGGGACTTAATTAGTTACTTCATCTTGTTTTAAACAATTTCTCTTTGTGGACATCTAGAAATGATAACATATTAGGAAGTTTTCCTAACTTGATTTTACGAGAGAATTACTGTTTTCTAATATCATGACTTTTAATCAGTGAACAATTTTGACTAATTAGAGGGTATAATTGAGTTATTTAACAGTTAAATATTTCAATCTTGATAACTCTTTCATGATATATATGTGTGTGTGTCACGATCCGATTCCTCGACTCATGATGGCACCTACTATAACCCAGCAGTAGGTAAACTAACCCGTAACCCAAAATAACAAGTAATGGGTCTGAGGGCAGAAACTAAACAAGAGTAGGCAAAATTTTAAGATAACAATATAAACAGGCGGAAGCAATCCAAAACATAAATACAAATAAAGATCCCTCCCAGAACTTGGAAGTCACTAGTACAAAGCTACTAACAAAACGAGTACAAGTCCCAAAAGTGGACCACAATAACTAGACTATCTCGAAAGGTAAAAGACAAGTCTATATATACATATGGAGACTGAAATAGTACAAAACGCCTTGTGCTCACCCCCGTCTCCGGATCAAACTACTCCAAACTGGATCAACACTGGCCACTAGTGCTCGGACCTGCATCACAAAATAGATGCAGAGCGTAGCATGAGTACCAAAATAGTAGGTGCCCAGTAGGCATCATAGGCCGACTGAACTTGAAAAGTTAAGGCAATATGAAAAGAAGGAATAACACAAACAGAGGTCAAGAGCGGAAATCTAAGTAACAATGGAATGCACACGAGTGTAGAGAGAACTAACTAAAGTAACTGGACCCCCATAAGCCCAGAAGGTACACTCGTGCGCAAGTTTTAATTAAAAACCCGAACGGACCCCCATAATCTCGACGAGTACACAGAATAACTATAGCTAAAGAGAAATGCATATGAGAACTCAAGAACGAAGAACATCGAACCAGAATCTCAACCCCAATTAGTAGAATCTAACAGTACGGAGGCCGAACCTCGAATCGGATACTCACCAAAAGTACCCAAGTAACCAATTACAAGTATCAAGTAACTGAGGCCGGACCTTTAACCTGATGCTCTATACAAGTATCTGGGCGATAGAGGTCGGACCTTAAACTTGATGCTCTATATAAGTACCTGGGCGATAGAGGCCGGACCTTAAACCGGATGCTCTATATAAGTATCTGGGAGATAGAGGCCAGACCTTAAACCAGATGCTCTATATAAGTACCTGGGCGATAGAGGCCGGACCTTAAACCGGATGCTCTATATAAGTATCTGGGCGATAGAGGTCGGACCTTAAACCGGATGCTTTATATAAGTATCTGGGCGATAGAGGCCGGGCCTTAAATCGAATGCTTTATAAAGGAGCCAATATAGCTGCTGAAAGAGTCATAATTGATCCATGCTCATAAATGTTCATGGAATGTCGTCCACACTTAACCAATCAATGTAAGGCCTTAGAACCAAATCGAAAATCAAATTCAAATCGCGAAACAGAACTAGTGTCGCCGACGTAACTCGTGAAGTCGTAACATCGGGGAAATAATGATAACTATTGTCGGAGCAAGCGTATCGCCTAACTACGGCCCAAACTATCAGACTCAAGTCTGCTACACCAATCTACAGGGATCTTAAGTCAATCGAGCGACATCGGTGCAAAACTAAGGCCTATCGGTTCCGAATCATGCATTTCTAAGGCAAGCCCTAGTCAAACCTAAACTAAGGCCCAACATGCTTCAAATAAACAGTAATTAAGCATACAAGCACTCCACATAGCGAGGAGGGTCAATTAGTAACACATAGTTCGCTCACATTTACCCGATAATTCCCGAAATAGACCAAAATATGATTTCTAAACACCTATACATGATTCAATAACTACCAACTCAAATCCCAACTAATCAACATGCATTCACACTCTCGAGCTCAATCTAAGAGAGGGAAACCGTAGCCTACCTGTAGGCTGATCACGCGCGCCCCAAAATCACTCCTCTGAAGCTTTTCCTTTCAGAATGGCCTCGAAACGCTGCCCCGCTACCAAAAATAGAGTCACAACGTTATTACAGTCATTTAGACACTAAAATCGAAAGAAACGGAGACGAACCAATTGCGGGGTCAAAACGAAAAAAGTGGGACCCGTGCTAAAAAATTCTGGAATTAACCCCAAAAATAGGTTCTTAAACATCTCCCCGAACTTGTGTTCCATGATGGGACACAATTTGGGGCTCGGAAATAATATAGAACCAACATGCAACCAAAACCCAAATTTTCCTCAAGAACTAAAGAAATGGGACAACAGTTAATTCAACATATTTACTAGAAACGGGTGGTCTACAGTAAATTCCAACAACACCACTACGCTTTCCTCGAAAATCCCCTCAAAATGGACTCAGGAATCGCTGAAATCGGACCTAAAATGGATGAGAAAACAAGTCTCAAAAATCCCAAAATCAAGCTCACAAAAAGGGGGTTGTGGCAGCAGGTATTTTGTGAAATTTACCTCAAATGGGGACCCTAAATCAGATTCCGAGCTCACCAACGAGTTGTCATCGAAAATCTCACAACTTTGCCTTTTGAATCGCGCAGATTGGAGCTCCAAAGCTCAAGTTATTGCACTTTAAAGAAAATGAGGAATAAAGCTAAGTTAGGGTTTTATAAAGGGCGAAACTGGTCGCTAAAAACCCAAAAGTTGGTCGCTAAAGAGCAGCACCAGATCTGAGCTTTGGCTAAATTCTTCAAAGTCTTCAACGGGGTGCTCGGAATTCATTCGGAACCAGATAAAAATAAAAAATATATGCTACCCTACTAAAATCGACATTCTGGACTCAACGGCACAGTCGAAATATCCATTAGATGTCATCTCGATAAAAAGTGGGTCCCACTTCCAAAAGCCATTTTAACCAAAAGCCACCGAGGGGGATGGAATGAGTCCATAGGCTTCGGGAGTCGAATGAAAGGTCGTTCTAGACTAAACTCAACATTCCGGAGCTAACCGCGCTGACGAAATTTTCAACTGAGCGCATTTTCCAAGAATGTTGACCAAAGTCAACCTTAGGCCAAATTTCAAAGGCTAAAACGCATAATGATCCAAACTCGCATCAAAGGCCTCGATACTCGTGCCAATTATGCTACTAGCCAAATTTGGCCATTCCGAAGCTGATGGAACCGTCAGAATTCTATTCTGAGGTCGTCTTCTTAAACTTTTGATTGAAAATGATCGTTCAAGGTTCATAAGCTCCAAAATACTAAAATTCGCACCATAACCAAACAAACGACTAGGTGACCGAGCTGTCAGTCCCAGCAAGTCATAAATGACTTGGGGTCGCTACAGGAACGCTCTAAACGACACAAAGAAGGCAAGATACAGAAATGACCAGGAGGGTCATTACAATATGTCTTTACAAAAATAAAAGATTCTTTTAACGATTGTATACCACATGTCTTGCAGTCTTTTATTCATAAAATAAAATAATTTTTTTTGGTAGGATGAATATACTTAAGAGGGGCTCGATCTTACTTTACATATCCTAATGAGGTAGCAAACCTCCACTAATTATTAGCAAGTATGAATAATATGAGAGTTAAAGAGTACTATATATACTATGATTACATTACACTTTATGATGATATGCTTAAGTAATGCAAAATTATAAAAAAATTGAGTCATCAACTCCAAACTTTCTTTTAAAAATATATGAACTAATAAATATAGATCATAACAATTCTTGAAATGTTATTCACTAATGATGTCATACCGTTAATTTTGGAAAGAAAAAGAAATGACAAGTTTCAGGCAAGTAATGTGTAAAAGGACCGGATCTCTCATTTTCTTGTCATATAATATGGGGGAGGGGAGTCGTCTTGTGCTTTAACGGCTTGTCTATATCGTAAAATTAATCAAGTGTGTACTGGTTTTGTAATTTTAACTATATTCTATTTTGACGTACATATTTTTTTCCTCTAATGGAGTCTAGATTATGCAAATTTTCAACAGTTTTGTATTCTAGTTCATGTTCATTCTACTTCTTTTCACGTTTGAAAGCGAGCATTTTCATGGCATAGAATAAAATAACCATTTTACCCTAAATCATCCTGTAAAACCCTACTTTCTGTGTCTTTGTTGAGTTCTTTCTTTCAATTCGGTTCATGGACTTGATGTGAGCTTCTCTCTTAATTCGGACTATGTATTGAGCCACTAGTTATACTTCAACAACACTCCTAACCATGTCAAACAAACTTCCTATTTGCTACAAACCAACTTCCAAGTATGTTAGAGACTATCTTTTTGCTTCAAACCCTCCTTTCAACCTATAAGGTATCATCTTCTTGACAAGTCAATATAAAAAGATGAAGTAAAATAAAATTTTGATTCACATGTAAACTCTAGACTCTATTACATATCTATAGTGGAATGTAAGAGAAAATACTAGTTCTATGTCAGTTATGTGAGAGTATCTGACTCATAATTGATGAATTCATTGGTTTAATTACTATTGAATGCATGTCAATTGAACCCTTCAATAAGTCTATTGAATTGACTCAATAAGAGATTTATTGTAGTCAAGGGTACTCCTCTATCTTAGTATTTTGGGTTGGAAAAATTTAATACGATGAAGAAATTCAAAATATTGTTTCCTAATATTTTGAATGGCGAATTTATTATCCCTATTTGTAAATTACCCATATTCCTATTAAGAAGGTGAGGCAAAAAGGGCTTGATGAACTATCCAAATTCTCTGCTATCAAATTAAAATTGATAAAAGTTTATTTGAGTCTCATAGTCATTCCTTTATTGAATATTTTCATATGCTTGACTAAATAAAAAGAATCAACCTCATACATTATAAAAAGTTTATTGAGTCTCATAGTCATTCATTTATTTAACCAATATCACCTCTTTTAGGTTTTGTGAGGTGATTGACCCTAGCTCTACACAACATTCCTTCTTTCTATTATTGGTGTGGATCATCAAGGGGTGTGATCAGATGGATGAAATGCCTTCCTTCGTAACCAATGTCTCATTAGAACCTTGTAAATGGAGAAACCCTGTTAAGGAATATTCTCCCCTTTAATGGAATCTATGTGATCCAAATCTAGATTAGTGTGTTCTAAATGTATAAGATGTCTCTCTAAAAAGAAAAATTGTCACCAAAGCCCATCGTAGGTGATGTGATTTCTCTATGTGATGGAAAGATAAGGGATCAGGGTTTAGCAAATGCCATGTGTACTAGGATCGTTTGGTGTGCTAGATAAGATGAAATATCCCACAATTAAGTTTGCGATTAGATTTATATGTATTGTGTTGACAATATAGATCTAACTCCACACTAAAACCTAAATATATATATTCCACCTTCCTACCAAATTTGGAATTATTTTATCCCACTTCCCATGTAGGATAAGTAAGTTCAAGAATTATAATTTAAATTATATTCTCGAGATAATATAGTCTGCATATCAAACAACCCCTTAAGTCACAGACAACATATCAAGGAGAAATTGAACAAAAAAATATACATGATTTGTTTCATGTTTTTTTATTCATGACTAATTATTGAGATGGATATTATCATTGACTCAATTTTTGTGGAAATGTTTCTCTTTTGTGTTCCACTAAAAGTTTCTCATCATTTAATATTTATCCTAAAAAAAACCTCACGAAAGAGTCAAGAAAATCTTAACATACATTTCTGATTATTATATATAAAATGTATGTAGATGTTCTTAGAACTTAGTCAACTACAAAGAAGTGAAGTATTAGTTTCTCCTAAAAATTAAACTTTCAACTAGCTAAGTTCCATTGTTAACAAGAAGCAATGAAACTTAATTGATTGGATTTGATTCATTCCTAAACAAGCCTTAATAGAACTTTAAATCTTTAAATTTCATTAACATTGATCAAACAAAAAGCTCATTAACATTCGTCAAACAATTGTTGGATGAGACACTTAATGGATAATAAGTTTGATAAGTATTTTGTTTTCTTTATAACTTTTTTGATGTATGTATATTTGATGACAATATCGTTTCAAGTAAATTTACTGTTCAAATAATGAGAAAGCCTTATTGAATAGATAATTAGGTTGATAAGTGTTTTATTTTCTTGTAATATGTATATTTGATGATAATATTACTTCAGGTGAGTAATTTTGAAAAGTGAGATTTTATTTTTTGCAATTCAATTAGATCAATGAAATATCATAATGCATTATTATGATGATTATATTTGTAAGGAGAATTGGAACATCTTAGCAGGAATATGCCAGCATGGCTAGGGCCATTTTTGAAAAAGACATTTTTTGGGACATGTTTGGTACATGATGAACTTCAGTTTGATGCACTTGAGTCGGGGATCTTTCGGAGACAACCTCTCTACCTCCACGAGGTACATAGTGGTAAAGTCTGCTAGACCTTACTTAGTGGAATTTCACTGAATATATTGACATGTTGTTATTGATGTCGTTGTTGTTGTTGTGTATATAAAATTAGAAAGAAAAAATAATAATTGGCTTGCACATTTGATTGAACATATTTAAGTAAAATGCCAACTTTCCAACCAAATGTACCCTTATATTCATGATTTCATATGTAAAATTAAAAATAAAAATAAATCGACTTGCACATTGGATTGAACACATTAAGTAAAATGCCAAATTTCCAACCAAATGGACCCTTGAATTCATGAATTCATATGTATTATCATTCATCCAGCTATTGAAAATTGACTAGTACAATAATTGAATTTTGATTAACCAATTGCATTTAAGAAAAAGTACTGTAGCTCAAGCTTGACAAGTTGCATTATTGTACTTGTCAATTATCATGAACTGATCTGCCAAGTGAGTATCATATCTTATGGACCATTTGTTTGATTTATTCCATGATTTATGGTGTGTTGGATACGATAAAATTTGTATCTTGTGAAAAATATTTTTGAAAATCTCATCCATCAAGTATGAATATTTAGGGCTAAATATTTAGCTCCAAATAAAAAAATCTCATCCGTTCAACCACATTATATAACATGGCATAGTAAAGTGTATATGAATATTCTATGACTTTACCATATACTATTGGACAATCCGGAATCTTATGACTAAGAAAGAATTGGCTTCCTTGGTGGAGTATGACTAAGATAAGAATACTAATAATAAGAACAATAGAAATAGAGAAGATAGGATAGTTTTCTTATTCTTTCAATAAGTATCATCAGGTGTCAGTGGCAGAGCAACCTTGTTCTCAGGGGTTCATCCGAATTCTCTTCGGCAGAAAATTATAGTATTTATCTATGGTTAAAATAATTTTTTAGGTATATATAATATATGTCGAATCCCCTTCGACTACTTCGTGTGTCTATTTCTTCACATTTTGAACCCACTTATTGAAAATCCTAGCTCCGCCACTGTCAGGTGTTATAATAGAAATCCTTATGTTTTTTTTTTTTATTAATAGTGTTACATAAAGGCATGCGAAAGGTTAGTCATAAACATGACATTAATCATGAAAACAATATAAGAGGTTATGGAGGTGTAAGATTACAAGAATAATAGTCATAAAGTTGGAGAGGTTATCTTCATAATGGAGGAAAGAAATGAAGATAATTAGTGAGAGTGGATTCTTGGAGTAGCGAACATTCACACTATAATATTTTATATAATACTCTCCCTTGAATGTTCATAGATAACGTGTCTCGTCAAAATCTGATAAAGAAAAATAGGGAAAAGTGTTTGAAAAATACTTCAACTTTTGCTGAAATTGTTGTTACGATACCAAACTTTATGGAGGACCTTTTATCCCTTGCACTATTTAATAGTGTATTTTAAAGGCATACTAGTATACGTACTCGCGCGTTGCGCGGCTATATATGAATTTATGATTAATTTAATTTCATGAAACATCAAATAGTTGAAATATTTTTACATATTTGTCCTTTATTATTTTTATGTTGTATTGATATATTAATATATTTTTCATATTAACAATTTATTAGTTAAAAATATTTCACATGAAAGGTAAAATATCATAAGATTAAACGACATGTTAATATATTTTACATATATTTTTTTTCAAATTCAAAAGATTCAAAATATTCTTTACATTCTTAAATTTGTGTCAAACGATAATAGAAAAGTAATTTAAAATAGAGTCAATATGAAATAATGTCATATAATAATAGAAACATGTTCATGATATATACATTTTTTATTAATCATTGAAAATAATTAAT